GGGAAAGGGCCATGCCATGTGCAACTTACTGTCAAATGGTTCAGAAAAAAAAAATTTGTGCATACATACATTTCTATACATGAGTATAAACACCCAGGGGAGATAAGGCAAATATAATAAAATGCTAACAATATGTACATCTAATACAGGATATGCAAGTGTTCTTGCACTAATTGTATTCTTGCAACTTTTCCGTAAGTTTGACTTTTTTTTTTTTTTAGGAATATATTTCTTAATGTATTTTTTTTATTAATTTCAGAGAAAAAGGGAGAGGGAGAAAGAGACAGAAACATCAATAATTCGAGAATCACCAATCGGCTGCCACCACATGCCAACCACCGAGAACTCCTAGTTTATATAAACATTTCCTACCAAATGTTTACTTTAAAAGCAACAACAATTAATTAGCTAGTGAGGTTGGAAGTGTTACACTACTTTCCAACTAAAAAGAATTAAATTATAAAAACCAGAGCTCAGTCTGCTAGTAGGGCAAGTTCTATAATGTTACAAGGTGGTAGGCTGTGGAGGAAAGAACTCCAAACTCAGAAGGCACTTGGCCAGCCTAAGTGCAGGCTCAACTTTCTAGCTACTACTATAAGCTTCAGCCAGTTCAGCTTATAAAATATCCACGTTTCCTATTCGTTAACCTGTATGCTGCTCCAGTGCTGTGGCCACTTCTCAGCCCAGTGAGGATTTATCAGTTCAGCATATCCAGCAGGTCCCTAATGGCCATGGGGAAGAACCCTGAACTAGGAGGCAGCTCCTAGTGGGTCTGAATCCCAGCTTCTCTGCTCTCCAGCTATGTGACTTTATACAAGTCACCTGCCTCTCCCAGCCAGCTTTCTTTATCTGAAGGCACACAGTTCTAGTCCTGCTACATCACCTCTAGGGCTGGGGAACTCAGCCAAGAACTCAGGAAAGGTAAATGTTTTCTCAGCTAAGTATGGTGGTGTCACCCTGGACGGAGCTATGGCTAAACCCATAGCATGATTTTCTTTCATAACTGATGCTTAGAAAAAAAAAAAGTTTTAGAAATCAGCAATTGATGTTGCATTCCCTGTACAGATAAAGGGTCAGGGAGATGATACTGCAGTCAGTGGCCATAAATGCCTGTGTGTGTGTGTGTGTGTGTGTGTGTGTGTGTGTGTATGTGTATATATATATATATATATGTTACCCCTCAGCAGAGATTCTCAACCTTTCTAACATCTGGGGGAAAACAATACACATCTTCATAGGTCATTACGGTTAACCACAGAAGGAATTAGGGGGAGGGCATGTTCTATCCCTCAAACCAGGGTATTCAGAGGGAAAAAGCTTCAGAATCCCCACCTGGTGAGCCACTGGGTCCTCAGAAGAAAAGCGGCCAGGGCTCCACAGCAGGGGTTGAAGATAGAACACTCCTAAGCCCCTGGGAAAGGTGCACAGTGGAATCAGGCCAGACTTCTAGGACTGAATCTCTTCTCAGCCACTTAGCTTGATGAGTCTGTATTACAATTTCCCTATCTGCAAATGGAGCTAAATAAGAGTATCTACCTCACAGGGACCACCTGAGAGTTAACACATGTTCTTACTACAAAAGCCCCTGGCATGTAACACATCCTCAATCAAGCCACATCAGACATGCATTTAAAATAAACCTTGGCCAAAGGTCAAGTTCAGCACTCCTGTGTGGCCCATTGCCCCAGTTTGTGGAAGGCCTCGTGCCCTGGCCTGCATCACAGAGGAGCCAATATTGGCTTGGTCCCCGTCCTCAGGGGCTGTCCCTGGCAGAAATTGGAAGACACCTACTTGCCTGCCTCCCTCCCATCTGGGAAACAGGTTCTGACAGGTGCCCTCCTCACACCCAAGTATGAGTCTAAGTCAGGATTCCAACAGAAGGAATGCAGACTAACCCCCTCGAACATGCCAGCCAGCAGACCCCTGCCTGGGAAGGAAGCACAGCACACAGAACATCTGACCCAGAGCGACACTTGCCCTTGCTGCCCAAACACCGTCAGGGAGCCAGCTGGAGCCCCCCAATTGTAAGGCAAGTAGAGATACCACTGGGGCCACCACAAAGCTCTAATATGGAGTGTCATGGAATGAAAAAGGTAACTGCCCCCTCTGCCACAGGTGCCTCCCTGCCCCAACTCAGCCCTAAGAGCAATGTCTTCTGTGAAGCCCTCCCCTGCTTCACAAGCACAAACGGTTGGCCATCCCTGACACCTGCCTAGGCCAACACACTTAGTGGACCAGTTTACACCTGGACTCTCTTTCCACACCTAAAGGGCACTCCCAGAGGAAGGGGTTTATTCTATTTGAGCATCCCTGGAAGACGGGCAGGTATCAAACACTCAGACGCTTGTTGAATTACTGCTGGCCAGTTAGCAGGACGTGTGGACAGACAGAAAAGGAGTTGGGAACATTGGTCACCTCCATCATTCAGGTAGGAGATGCTGGACCTGGAGCCAGAGGCACCTCAAGGAAGAAGTCATGTTGGTACATGGCTTCACTCAGTCCAGTGACCTAATGTGCAAAACTGGGAGTCACAAGCCAGAACAGGATGACGCCTCACCTTTCTACAGGTGTAGACTTGTGTTTTGTTGTTATTTTAATACATATTTTATTGGTTTCAGAGAGAAAGAGAGTGTGAGAAAGAAATATCAATGATGAGAATCATTTGACTGGCTACCTCCTGCACGCCCCCTATATCAGGGATTGAGCCTATAACCTGGAAATGAGTCCTTGATCGGAATCGAACCCGGGACCTTTCAGTCTGCAGGCCGACACTCTACCCACTGAGCCAAACCAGGTAGGGCTAGACTTGTTTTCTAAATCACTTCATCACAACCCACAATCCATTGGCTCTGGTCCCCAAGAGGCCATACACTACCCGTTTAGATAGGTGGCCCTTTTCCTGGCTTCCTTCCCTACCAACGCTGTCCCAGAACCAGTCATCCTGATGCTGAGAAGTGTCACCGCAGAGACTCCAGGCTAGCCGAGGGTCTTGGCCACAAGATAGTCAAGAGGCTCAGTGTGTCTAGGGTGGGAACCTGGCTAGGGCACAGTGGAGGATCAGCCGCATACCACTGTGCTCCCCAGCCTGCCTTCACCCACTGAGGCCTAACAGCTCACAGAAGACAGCCTTAAGTACCCCCACCTTCATGGGACCCCCCTTCCTGCTCCTGGCTACCTGGCCCCAATTAAGAATCCTACTTTTCATCCCAGCTGGGTGGCTCAGCTAGTTGGAACATCCTCCCATACACCAAAAGGTTGCAGGTTTGATTCCGGATCACAGCAGCTTCAATCTCCAGGAGGGGTGAGGATGGGAGGCAACCGATCAAAGTTTCTGTTTCTCTCTCTCTGAAATCAATGAAAACATATCCTCGGGTGAGAGTTAAAAATTAAACACATACACACACACACACACACACACACACACACACGAGGGTTAAAAATTAAACACGCACACACAATTTTATAGTTAAAAGGAAATCATACTTTTTAACTGCATTGTTTGTTTTTTAAAAAATATATTTTATTGATTTTGTACAGAGAGGAAGGGAAAGAGATAGAGTTAGAAACATCGATGAGAGTCATCGATCAGCTGCCTCTTGCACACCCCCTACCGGGGATATGCCCGCAACCAAGGTACATGCCTTTGACCGGAATCGAACCCGGGACCCTTCAGTCCCCAAGCCGACGCTCTATCCATTGAGCCAAACCAGTCTCGGCTAACTGCATTGTTATTTAAAAAAAAAAAATGAATGCCTATATGTATAGTACATTACATTCTCTTTGATCTAAAAATTCAATTTTCCTGTTGATTTGAGAAGAAATCAAACATTTTCACAAACTCCTAAAGCACTGTGGGCCCCCAGCACTGCCTCTCCCGTACCTATTCGGTAAATCAGCCCTGAATTTGGGGGTTTGGATTTCTTGCTGCAGTTCACATGGGCACACCAGAAACAGGTAGAGATTTAAAAAAAAAAAAATTGTCCGGGACAGTCTAGCTGCCATGAATGATCTGAACCCCCACCACAGGCTTTTCATAGAAACACAAGTTCCGAGGGGAGTTCTCAAGGCATTTAATCATCACATACAAAGAGCAGTCCTAAGTACCCGGCACTGTCCAGGCTCCCACGACTGGGACACACCTGTGGGGAGGGGAGTGCGTCAGCCTCTGCCCCAGGACAGACCCGAGGGATGCTGGGCGGCCTCCTACCACTTCCTCCGGTCCAGTCTTTGAGCTGAGTCCCTCTCAAGGGTAACACCTCACTGAGTGGCAATGGAGCCACACTGGCTACTGCTTGCCAGCCGAGGGGTTTCCCGGCCTGAGACGCTGGCATCAGCCCACTGCTGGGAGGAAGCAATGGAAGCCAGGAGCCTCCACGAGCTGCTCTCTGCACCTAATCCCAGCCTAACTCCAGCCGCTGGACCAGAAATGAGGGTGCAGCTCCTTAGAGAGAAGGGATTCCATCACTCTCGCTTCCATCCCCCTCAAAGCATGTAGTGGCTCCACAAACCTGGACCCAAAGGCCACAGAGTTTCTTCTTTTTTTTTAAAAATACATTTTATTGATTTTCTTACAGAGAGGAAGGGAGAAGGATAGAGAGCTTGAAACATTGATGAGAGAGCAACATCAATCAGCTGCTTCCTGCAATACACACCCCGCCCCCCAGGGAGATGTGCCCGCAACCAAGGTACATGCCCCGGTCCTGAATCGAACCTGGGACCCCTAAGTCCGCAAGCCGACGCTCTATCCACTGAGCCAAACCGGTTAGGGCGAGAACAAAGTTTCTGGATGTACCAGGCGCTCGAGCCCACCAGGTAAAGTCAGGGCACGGTCCCGCCGGTGCGTGGTCCCGGGAAGCGGGACGCGGCGGACCGCGGGGAGGCCTCCGTAGGCGTCCGCCCGGGACACGGCCCCACCGAGCGGAGGGAGGTCCGGGGCGACCCCGGCCCTGCTCGCCCCGCCCCCGGCCGCCCCGCCCTCCCCCCACCCCCGCCCCGCGCACCTGGTCGCAGCGGCTCGGTGACGGTGAGCACGAGCAGGAAGAGCAGCAGGAAGGCACCGCTGTCTGCCTTGGGCACCATTTATCCTCCGTTCATCGTCCCCGGGGCGGCCGCGTGACCCCGCGGGGAGGCCGAACCGGGCCTGGCTGAGGGTCGGGGGGCCGGGCCGGAGCCGGGCGTGAAGAGGTGGCGGGAGGGGGCCTCCGGCTGGGCCGCGGCTGAACGGGACCGGGGGTCCTCGCGCCCTCTCAGATGCAGCCCGAAAGTTCCGACCGCAGCCTGAGGTTCCGACCGCGGGCTCGCGCGCGCACTCAGCCGCAACCTAGGATTCCGACTTTGGCTCCGCGCAAGATGGCGGCCGTCCTGTTCGGCTCTGCGACTCCTCTGCTTCCCGCCCCCGACGCCGGCGTCGGCCAATCAGCGTCGAGGAGGGGGGCGGGGCCTGCGCGCTCCCTATGCTGGCGGACCTTCGGCCGATCGGGGGCGGAGCTTGGGCAGCAGCGCCCGAAGGGGCGAGGCGATAGGTCGGGATGGGGAGGGGCCAGTCCGGCGGGGGCGTGGCTTAAGGAGCGAAGCGCCATTGGCTGGACAGAGAGGTGGGGCTCGGGGGTGTAACCTGAGCTGAAGGGCCTAGGATCTCAGGGCGCAGCGGAGAGACGGACCTAGTGGACCGGACACCAAAAGGGCGGGGCCCAGTGAAGCCGGAGAAATGGGGAGTGGCCCCGGGGTGGGAGGTGGGGGCAGCCAGTGAAAGAAGAGGGGCAGGATGAGAAGGAGCCAAGGAGGGCTGGGACACAAAGGGTCGCACACCTTGCACATCTGTCAGGCCGAGGTCAGGTCCTTGGCCTGTAAAGTGGCCTTTTTCAGAAGGGTTGCACCCTGGCTGAGGGCCTAGTTTGTTGGAGCATCCTTGCCGTGCATCAGAATGGCTGCAGGGCCCTAACCGGTTTGTCTCAGTGAATAGAGCATCGGACTGAAGGGTCCCAGGTTTAATTCTGGTCAAGGGCATGTACCTTGGTTTCGGGCTCATCCCCATTAGGAGGTGTGCAGGAGACAGCTGATCGATGTTTCTAGCTCTCTATCTCTTTTCCTTCCTCTCTGTAAAATAAATAAATAAATAAATAAATAAAATGTTTGTTTTTTAAAAATGGCTACAGGTTCATTCCAAGTCAGGGCACATAGGTTGCACGTTCCATCCCTGGTCAGAGCCCAGGGATATTTCTCTCTTTTTCTCTCTCTCTCTCCCCCTTCTTTTCTAAAATCAATAAACATATCAAGTGAAGATTAAAAAAAAGTTAAAAAAAAACCTGCAAAAAAGGAATAAAGAAAACTTTGAGAAGATAGGAAAGGAGGATGCTGTCAGGCACAGGCTGGAGTGGCTTCACTGGCACACACAACTGAAAAGGAAGAAGTAGACTAAAGGAGTATCGTGCTCCCCCCACCTCCCCCACCCCCAGGTGTGGCTCTGGGATTGAGCTTTGAACTATGACCCAGGAGGTCATGGTTTGATCTCTGGTCAGGCACACGCCCAGTTGCAGGCTGGATCCCCGTAGGAGGCTTGCAGGAGGTGATCAATCAATGATTCTCTATCATCGATGTTTCTATCTCCTTTCCATTCTGGAATCAATCCTATCCTATATAATAAAAGGCTAATATGCAAATTGTACCCTCCACCAGGAGTTCGACTGACCAGAGGCAGCCCACCGCCGCCTGCAGCTACTCTTCCTGGCTGACTGGACCCCACCATGCACAACCGGGCCTCTAGTAATATTTAAAAATAACAATAAGGAGTAAAAAAAAAAAAAAATGAGTCATTTTGAGTCATTCTATAGAGACCCTGTAGTAAAGTTGGTCTCTGGAGGAAGGGCCCTGCCTACACCACGGGGGAGTAGGGGAAGGCACATAAGACCAGATCTGCATTGATTAAAGCCACTGGGGACAATGCTCTAAGTACTGACTTCATATCTCGTATCTGGAGCAAGGAGACTATGGGAGGGACCCAGCAGATAAGGTGTTCTCAGTAGGAGAGAGGAGCAAGCGGTCCAAAGGCAGGCCCAACAGCCAAGCACACAAGACCTGGCACAGAGTGTCAGGGCTGGATCAGAGGGTGAAGGGCCAGTGTGACTCAGTTGAGCATTGGTTGTTTCAACAAACGGTCCCTGGTTTGACTCCCAGTCGGGGCACATGCCTGATTTCGGGTTCGATCCCTGGTTGGGGTGTGTGCCAGAGGTGACCAATCAATGTTTCTCTCTCACATCAATGTTTTTCTCCCTCTCCTTAACTCTCCTAAAAAAAAAAAATTAAAAATTAACAAAAACATTTTTAAAAAATAAAAAAGAGGCCCTAGCCAGTTTGGCTCAGTGGATAGGGCATCAGTCCATGGACTGAAGGGTCTAAGGTTTGATTCCGGTCAAGGGCACATGCCGGGTTGTGGGCTCGATCCCCAGTAGGGGGCATGCAGGAGGCAGCCAATCAATGATTCTTTCTCATTCTTGATGTTTCTATCTCTCCCTCTCCCTTCTTTTCTGAAATCAATAAAAATATATTTATAAAAAATAAAAAAGAGGGTGAAGGTGAGAGCAGAGAAAGAGGGAAGGGCCGAGGCTAGTGAGGACCCATCCTGACCTGGCCCACCTCCGCTCCACTGACTCACTCCAGGAGCAGTCCTCTCAAGCTAACTCAAGGCATGGTTCACCTGAGGGTCTGTCCCTTAATCCTGGGACACTCAGGATCGTCTGAGAGAGAGGCACCCACTTCCTCAGGGTGGATGTAGCCAAGGTTAAACCCAAGACTAGGCCAGACCTGCCTGCTCCTGCTCCTCAGGGTATGGCCCCGAGCTGGTGCTAGAGTCTAAGGGGCTGTCACGGCAGAGACGCCCCACTCCTGGCAGAAATTGGTCCCTGTCCAATGCTGACCTCTCCCCTTGCACCATCCTCAGGGAGCATTCCAGGAGCAGCTGATGGCACTCAAAGCAGGATCAAGGTCCAGCTTCTGTCCCAGCCCCAGATCTGCCCGAGGAGCCCAGCCCAGGCTATGGTCTCGGCAGACCCCCAAGAAGGAACACACAGCCAAGAGCAGAAACCTCTGCTAGTGGTCCCCGCCAAAGCCACCGTCAGAGAAGCAGGCTGCCTAAGGTTTGGATGAAGCAGCACAGGGAGGTGAAGAGCCCAGCTAAAACATTCAGGAGAGGGCAGAGCCCTGACTTCCTAAAATCAGTGACCCTGGGCCTGGAGTCTTTGCCCCACCTGATTCACCTCCATTCTTCACCCTGCCGCATGGCCCGCAGGCCACCTGTGCAGACAAAGGCAAGGACTGCCAAGACTGAAGGGGGGAAAAATAGGGACGTTTCTCACCAGCTCCTTGCCTCTGCCTAAGGTCACTGCCTCTCTCAACGTCACCCTCTCTATACCATCCTTCCCAGGTTCCAATGACCATCCCTCCCTTTCTCCAGGAGTGTGGGACTATGGTTGGGGTTTCCTGCGCTCTGCTCCCACCTTTGTAAATTATGCCCTTGTTATACCCTCAGGCTGCCCCAACTGGAGTAAGTCCTGGTTTCTGCTGAGACCTGGACTGATACAACCACCCGCCCTGAATTTCCAGGATTGCAATCATCAGCCCCACCACTGGTCTAGCAGTCCTAGTTCCACGTTCAGAGGCATGGGTAGACGAAGATGTCCCTCTCCCCCCTCCTCCGAGTCCCCTGCTACCTCGAGTCCCAGCCAAGAGTGAGGTCACTCTCTGTAGGCGTTTGCTCTGCAGCCTACTGGCCAGCCTTCCAGGGATTCTGATTCCAAAGGGTCCAGTCAGAACCTCATTATCCCAGATACTCCTCCTTTGTGACTTCACCCACTGAAGTCGTCCGGGAGACGATGCTGAACGTTCCACCCCAGAGTCTGGGCCTCTGGCAGGCATGGACAGCAGGCCAGACCAGCCTAGAGGACTACCCGTCCACGGTGTAAATGAGGACACAGCTGGCCCATGTCTTGCAGGGATGTAGAGGGCAGCCTCCGAGGCACTGGGTGCTCCTGGCACCATGGATGATGCTGCCATCCTCAAGCGACGAGGCTATATCATGGGGATAAACTTGGGAGAGGGCTCCTACGCCAAAGTCAAGTCCGCTTACTCTGAGCGCCTAAAGTTCAACGTGGCGGTCAAGATCATCGACCGCAAGAAAGCCCCCACAGACTTCTTGGAGAAATTCCTTCCCCGGGAAATCGAGATTCTAACCATGCTAAACCACCGCTCCATCGTCAAGACCTACGAGATCTTCGAGACATCCGACGGCAAGGTCTATATTATCATGGAGCTCGGGGTCCAGGGCGACCTCCTCGAGTTCATCAAAACCCGGGGGGCCCTGCACGAAGATGATGCTCGCAAGAAGTTCCACCAGCTCTCCTCCGCCATCAAGTACTGCCACGACCTGGACATTGTCCACCGCGACCTCAAGTGCGAGAACCTTCTCCTCGACAAGGACTACAACATCAAGCTGTCCGACTTTGGCTTCGCCAAGCGCTGCCTCAGGGATGACAACGGCCGACTGATCCTCAGCAAGACCTTCTGCGGGTCGGCGGCGTACGCGGCCCCCGAGGTCCTGCAGGGCATCCCCTACCAGCCCAAGGTCTACGACATCTGGAGCCTGGGCGTGATCCTCTACATCATGGTCTGCGGCTCCATGCCCTACGACGACTCCAATATCAAGAAGATGCTGCGCATCCAGAAGGAGCACCGCATCAACTTCCCGCGCTTCAAGAACCTGACCAGTGAGTGCAAGGACCTCATCTACCGCATCCTGCAGCCCGACGTCAACCGGCGGCTGCACATCGACGAGATCCTCAGCCACGGCTGGGTGCAGCCCAAGGCCCGGCTCCTGTTCTCTGCAGCCATCGACAAGGATGGCGAGACCTCAGCGACCCCCATTCTGGAGGCCTCGGGGGTCCAGGAATCCCCATGGACCCCTGAGCCTGGCCCTGACAAGAAGTCTGCCACCAAGCTGGAGCCCCAGGAGGCCCAGCCTGAGATGAACCCAGAGTCACAACCCAAGGAGGAGATTCTGCAAGAGGCGTCGAGGCTGTTGGATATCAGAAGCGCAGTCCCTATGGAGGGCCGGCCAAGTAGGGACACAGAGGAAGGGGGAGCCCTGAAGCCTGCAGACACGCACACCTCGTGAGCCTCTCACATGGCCCAGGGGCTGGCAGGGGATGAGGCAGAGCTCACAGCTTCGAGCCTGAGCTCCAGAGAAGGCAAGGGACAAGCCACTGAAGGAAGACAATCCGGGATGAGCCATTATTTTCGTCAGTTTCTTTTCCCTCCCTCTGAACTTGGTAAAAAAAAAAAAAAAAAAAAAGCAATAAATAACTATATTAGTGCAGATTGTAAGGTGAATGTCTTTGCCCCAGCTGGTCATCTAAGGAGAGGATCCACCCCACCACACCCTAAGTTTGGAAAACATATCCCAGGGTACCCAGCCATGACCATGACCATGACCACAGCAGAGAGCTGAGGGAGGAAGATGCTGCTTCAAGAGGGAGGCTATGAGTGTGGTGCTGGGGGAGACGGGATATGGAGGGGACAGGACCACGGAGGGCTGCCTGTAACGGAGGGGTGGAGAGGAAGATCTGCACGTCTACTGGTGAGGAGGGATCTGCTGAGGGCAGATGCACCAGCTTCTCAGACTCTCTTGATCTCCCCTCCTTAAAGAGCAACTTAGTTTTCCTGGTTGGTCCGCCAGGGGTTCTCTTATGTCCAGCAGGCTCCCAGTTCTCCATGGTGCCGAGTCATCCCACTCTGTGGTCATCCTCCCGGCTCAGGTGAGGCAGGAGGCTCTGCTGGACAGCCCAGCCACACTCCCGCCCACATGTCCCACAGCTGTGTGGCCTTGACCTCACCCTGTTCCCCTCGGTCCCCATCTGTCCCCGGGGATGATGCTCCCCACCAGAGTAGATAAGCTGATAGTGGTCAGAGACAGGACAGGCGTCCTCATAATGCATGCCTGACCACTGCGGTGTCTGTATCCCGCAGCGGGAGCAGGCTTGCATATTAATATCACCAACCACGTGCTCTGCAGGGCCCTGCTCGGCCTTGTCTATGCAGTCCTCACCTCTGCCGTGGTGGCCCTCTCTCTTCCCGCTCTGCACTCACTGACAGCTTCTTGTGCACCTGCAGGGTTAACACACTGAGAGGGCAAGAGCCTTCAGACTCATCCACCCCAACACCTCTGTTTTAGGAAAATCTGAACCCCAGCCCACTGGGAGAAGTGAGACCCAGTGAGTGTCCCAGACCTGCCCTCTGCAACCCTCCCCACAGTTAGTCCACTGCTCTGCCTGGCTCCACCCTCCCCACAGCCCATTTCCCCACGGTGTCCTCATATGCCCTGCTATTGCCTCCCAAAGCACCCAGTCTGGCTCGCTCTGCTGAAGGGAAGGATCCCAGGGTCTGGTCTTTGACCTCTGAGGTCCCCCCAGGTCTGACCTCTTCCTGGCCGCCCACCCCCCAGATACATGTTATAACCAACCCTTCAGACCTGGCCTCTCTCTCCAGGCTCAGCTGAGGGGCCATGGCCTCCACACAGCCTCCTGGGGGCCCCTACAGCACTCAGCAGCCAGCCAGTAAGCTCCACCAGGCAGGCCAGTGAGTGCCCACGGTCCAGGCACAGAACAGGGCTGAAGCCATGGTCGGCCAACTGTGGCTCTTTGGCCCCTTGAGTGTGGCTATTCCACAAAATACCATGGCCTGAGCCAGTCTATTTGGTATATGGGACGATGTTCCACGCAACTGAGCCACACACCCAGGGCACTGGGCGAGTCTATTTGGAAGAAGTGGCGTTAGAAGAAGTTTAAAAAATTTGGCTCTCGCCAAAGCCGGTTTGGCTCAGCGGTAGAGCGTCGGTCTGCGGACTGAAAGATCCCAGGTTCGATTCCGGACAAGGGCATGTACCTTGGTTGCGGCCACATCCCCGTAGGGGGTGTGCAAGAGGCAGCTGGTCGATGTTTCTCTCTCATCGATGTTTCTAGCTCGCTCTCTCTCTCTCCCTTCCTCTCTGTAAAAAAATCAATAATATATATATATATTTTTTAAAAATTTGTCTCTCAAAAGAAATTTCAATTGTTAGCCTGTTGATATTTGGCTCTGCTGAATAATGAGTTTGCCGACCACTGGCCTGGAGTAACACTGGAGCTGTCCCCCAATTTTTGAGTGAAGACTGAAGGCTCCAGGGGCCCAGTCACGCAGCGTGGCTGATGGTGGGGTGGGATCTCAGAGTAATTGAGTGGCACTGAGATAGGGACATCCTGAGGAGAGGCTCCTGAGCACCCACCTCTCCGCCATCCCTGCAGCCTGCTGCAGTCCTTGAAGAGGCAGCGAGCAGTGTGCGGCAAGAGGGCCCGAGTCTCACCGCAGCCCCGTGAGGAGAGGAGGTGAGCCTGGGTAGGAGGGGCTGCAAGAAGGAGCACCAACTGGGTGCTTTAGAAGTGGGGAAACAGCTGAGAGAGGGGAGACTTCTTTTTCTTTCTTTCTTTTTTTTAATATATTTTATTGATTTTTTACAGAGAGGAGAGAGGGATAGAGAGCTAGAAACGTCGATGAGAGAGAAACATCGACCAGCTGCCTCTTGCACACCCCCTACCGGGGATGTGCCCGCAACCAATGTACATGCCCTTGACCGGAATCGAACCTGGGACCTTTCAGTCCGCAGACCGACGCTCTACCACTGAGCCAAACCGGTTTCAGCCGAGGGGAGACTTCTTGACTGAAGCCACATCTCCCCAAGTGGCCTCCCTGAGCTCAACCCTGGCATAGGCCTCCTCAGTGACCCTTTCACTAAGGCTTTAGGCTCAAGACCCTCAACATGGACGCAGGTCTCCCTTCGTCTCCCCTGAACGCAGAGCACATGGCACACCTGTCCTGACCACTCGCTACCTGTGGGCATGGGATGCCGGTGACAGAAAACAAACCAACAGCGGGGCTTCCGAACTACCTAAGGTGCATACAGGAGGCCGTGTTTTCCAAAGCAGCCCTCCACACAGGCCCCGAAGGGAGGTCTTCACATTGCTTCCAGGCGCAGAAGACGGTTTCAGTGACGCAAAGGATGCTTCTCCAGGGTCCCAACAGCTCGACGTGCCACTCCTCACAGAGGCCCACGCTGACACAATCCCACCCAGGTGCTCGCTCCTAACAGGACGCTGGCCCTCAGCACCCCCAAAACCACAGCTCCCAGGCTCCGCCCAGGCCCTGCCCAATCACCGAGCAGCACACTAGCCCGTGGTCTCCCTTCGTCGCCCAGAACCCCCAGGCCCACCCTAGTCCGGCCTCCTGTTGCCTGGTCAAAGGTACCGGCCTCCACTCGCCCCAAAGCCCAATCTCGACGCTGCCATCGCAAAACGGGACTTGGGCCACAGCTTTCCTTCCCTGCGCCCTGCAGCAGCTGCCCATCCCTCAGGGAAGAGCCCCCACTTAGTTTTCCCCCACCTCCCTCCTGTCTGGGGGACTCAGCCATTCTCAGAACAAGCCCCTTCCTCTCTCTGCCTCTTCCCTACCTGGAAGCCTGTCACCTCCTCCTATCTGACTCTCACCCCAGTCTCCAGGCCTGCCCGTCCTCAGAGCACATCTGTCCGTCTGGGGCCTGCAGCACCCCCCCAGAGCCTGCCTGGCTTTCCACCCCCACACGTCCTGCTCACTACAGCACTCATCCACCCAGCCCTCTCCCCCACACAGAAGCTTGGAACCACTGCCAGCCTGGCCAGACCAGAGCGGTCCCTCCAGTTCCGAGGACACAAGCCGTGGATGGAGCCAGGGTTAGTTTCCCGCCGTTTCCTCCATGTGGCTGAGAAGCTGCAGGAAACTAACCCTCATGAGACCGGAACTAACCCAGGGTCAGTCCCCACAGCCAGGAAAGGAAAACTATCATGGGACTGGCACTCCTGGGTAGCCCCACCTTAGGCCTGACTCGTGACGGGGAAGCTGTGGCGAGGAGGGGCAGGGGCGGTTACCGCGGTCCTAGGTCCTGGCTGCCTGACCGTGGGCGGGAATAGGCACTGCTGCCACGCCAGCCTGGCTTCCAAGGTTCCAGGGGCCCTGTTCCCCCCAGCCCAGGTCCCACTCCCGGCCGCCTGGCTTTATGACTTCACATGCTGAAGTCACGTGGAGATAATGCTGAGCATTCCACACGTCCGGGGAGGCCCAGCCAGACGGCTCCCCACGCTGTAAATGAGGACAATGCCTGCTGGCCCACGTGGGGAGGGGATGTAGAGGGCAGTGGCGCCAGCCACTCCTGGCACCATGGATGATGCCGCGGTCCTAAGGAAAAAGGGTTACATCGTGGGTATCAACCTTGGCAAGGGCTCCTACGCAAAAGTCAAATCGGCCTACTCCGAGCGCCTCAAGTTCAATGTGGCGGTCAAGATCATTGACCGCAAGAAAACGCCCTCCGACTTTGTGGAGAGATTCCTTCCTCGGGAGATGGACATCCTGGCCACTGTCAATCACCGCTCCATCATCAAGACCTACGAGATCTTCGAGACCTCGGATGGGCGGATCTACATTGTCATGGAGCTCGGGGTCCAGGGCGACCTCCTTGAGTTCATCAAGTGCCGGGGGGCCCTGCACGAGGATGTGGCACGCAAGATGTTCCGCCAGCTCTCCTCCGCCGTCAAGTACTGCCACGACCTGGACGTCGTCCACCGCGACCTCAAGTGCGAGAACCTTCTCCTCGACAAGGACTTCAACATCAAGCTGTCCGACTTTGGCTTCTCCAAGCGCTGCCTGAGGGACTGTAGCGGGCGCATCATCCTCAGCAAGACCTTCTGCGGGTCGGCGGCGTACGCGGCCCCCGAGGTCCTGCAGGGCATCCCCTACCAGCCCAAGGTCTACGACATCTGGAGCCTGGGCGTGATCCTCTACATCATGGTCTGCGGCTCCATGCCCTACGACGACTCCGACATCAAGAAGATGCTGCGCATCCAGAAGGAGCACCGTGTGGACTTCCCGCGCTCCAAGAACCTGACGGGGGAGTGCAAGGACCTCATCTACCGCATCCTGCAGCCAGACGTCAACCGGCGGCTGCACATCGACGAGATCCTCAGCCACTCGTGGCTGCAGCCCCCCAAGCCCAAAGCCATGTCCTCCGCCTCCTTCAAGAAGGACGGCGAGGGCAAGTACCGGGCCGACTGCAAACTGGACACGCGGCCGGGCTCGTGCCCCGAGCACCGGCCCGAACACCGGCCCGACCACAAGCTGGGCGCCAAAACCCAGCACCGGCTGCACGTGGTGCCTGAGAACGAGGACAAAATGGAGGACAGGCTGGCAGAGACCTCCAAGGCCAAAGAGCACCACGTCTCGGGAGCCGAGGTGGGGAAGGCAGGTGCCTAGGGGGCGGGTGGCTGGGGGGGCCACCCGCGTTAGGGGGCGCCCGCGTTAACGAAGTAGGCAGGTAGGAGCTGAAGAAGGCACAGGTGCAAGGAACAAGTAAAATCTGTCAATTAAACCGCTATTTTGATTACGTTCTGTTAGTTTTCTTCTACTTGGTAGCAAAGACGTTCATTACTGACCAGCAAATAAACCACCACGTGTAAACAAGCATAGAGAGTGCCCCCTGAGGAGTCTTTCTCTCCAGGACTCAGCATCTCCAGCACAGGGATCCAGGGACCGGGGCTCAGGCATAAGTGCTCACAGAGAGGGTGTGGACAAGGTGGCCTCAGCCATGGACCACCCTGCCAGGCTCCCATCGGTCTCCCCGACGTGCCAGTGCCCAGAGCCTCCGGGCTGCCAGGCAGGTGTGTCTCCCACCTCAGATGCAGCACAGCCCGCTCTGATCCCATCCCACTTGCTCAGATAGCTCTTCCTCAGAGTTCTCCTCCCCCTCCCTCCCCTCGCCCCTTGGAGGATCCCCTTCATCCCCTGCACCCTCTTCCCTGCATTCCTGGTCACCCCACTCAGCAGCCTTATTTTGTCACCCAGGGCACACTCCCAGCAGGCCAGCCACGTACCGGAAGGGGTGAGCACCTGGCCTTAGGTGGCCTTGACTGGACCGTCTCTCTCTGCATCTCACTCACGCCCACTCAGACTCTGCTTTCCCATTTCCTGGGGGCACCCTCAAGCCCAAGGCCACGCTTCCCCATGCAGGAAAAGTATCAAAACCCACACTCCGCGTCCCAGACCTTGGTCCAAGCTCACCTGCTAAGCCCACCCAGCCCCTTGGTGGGGCACAGGGCACAGCCAGGACTTGGCCCCTGGAGTTTGCAGGAACTCACCGTCGAGGAGTGCAGGCTGATGGTGTCCAGAAGGCGGCAGGCCCCGCACCAGCCTCCGGAGGCTGTTGGCACTCAGGAGGGCAGAAGAGAACCAGTGCAGGAGTCCTGGGGATGCGAGGGCTGGGGGTGCTCGAAGCAGGACTCCGGTCTGAGGGGTTCCAGGTTGCCTCCCTGAGCAGCAAGCCCCCAAGGGCACAATCTGATCCCACTTGAGGCAGAAGAACCCATCTGGCAAGCAGCCATGGTCTTGGACCCCCCAACTCCATGTGAAGCAGCTGGCCCTAGGCCTTCTGGGGGTTTGGGCACCAATACACTCAGGCTGTCAAGCAAGCGCTGGCTGGTGGTATGAATGGTGCTGCGTGAGCCAGGCCCCATTGCTTGACACTGGCCCAGGTTAGTGTTACCTGGGGCCACTACTGGTGGCAGTGACAGGTGAGATTGGTGACTCGGCATTCTAAGACTGGCAGTGCCTGGAGCACAAGGGGTGGGGGGAGGGGGAACAGGAAGATAGAGACGCTCTGCCCCACCTGAGCTAGAAACCAGGGGCTTAGAAGTCATGGTAAGGCCACTGGGAAGGACCCCACACAGGAGTATGGCTAGAGCCCCAGGTGAACCCTAGAGGCTCAATTCCCAAGGGCTGCGTCCCTCCCTCAGAGAACAGAGTTTGAGGTGGGGGGTCCTAGGGGACCAATATGCTGTGAGCTCAGCTCAGGTGTTAAGCCCGGGAGCGCCACAGGAAGCAAGGCCGGCGGTGACGGGAAAGGTAAGACACCTAGCCCTCCCAAGGATCACCTCTCACAGCAATTTTGCCCATAATCCTGAGATCTCCATGCAAGCAAAGGGACGGCCCTGCAGACTGTGCTAGGTGTTGTTTAATTCCTGTTAAATAGAAACGGGCAGGGGTTCCATAGAAAAAAGTACCAGCAAAGCCCTGGGATGCATCCAAAGGGCCATGGGGTGGGTCCGGTGCCAGCCTGGCCGTGACAAGGCACCTTTCTTCGGTGGCTCCTGGGACAGTCACTGCTTTCGGCCCGGGCCTGGGTCCCCAAAAGGCCGGAGTCCTCTGCTGAACGGACAACTGCCCCGCAGGCTCCACAAATATCCCGCGAGCCCAGCCCGGGCCCGGCCCTAGAAAAAATCCGAGGCTTTGCGCCGGGCGGGGAGCTGCAGCAGGTTGTCTGTGATGGAGGCCGGGTCCTGGCTGAGGGGGGTGCGTGTGGCCGAGCCGGGAGCTGGGGTGCTCGTCGGGGTCTGGGGCCCGCCGGCCGGGGTCTTGAGGTGGGCTGAGCGTGCGGGGGACGGCGTGTAGCTGGCCCGCAGGGCCCGGTCTGTGTACTTGCTGGCCGTCCTGCTCACGAGGCGCTGCAGGGCTGGGGACATGGCTGGGCTCAGGCCTTTGGGGGTGAGGCTGGAATAGAGGGGGTGAGTGAGAGGGGCGGAGTAGGCTGAATGGGGCACCGCCAGCAATAGGGCTTGCTGCAGCTCCATAGGAAGACACACGGGAGACTCATGGTCACTCTGGGCCGAGGACACCAGTGACCCGGCATGCGGCTGTGTGGCCAAACCCGAGGTGGGATGCTGGTGCTGCCCTTGGCCATGGGGCTGGGTGGACCCCACTCTTCCTTAAGAGGAATGACATCCATGGTCACAGGTCTGACAAGAGCTCATAGTGGGACAACAGGCCTTAAGGTACCTTTTTAGGGGTGTGTGCCTAAGAGGCTGAAGAAGAAAACGAAGGGGCCCCCACATCCTGATTCATACAGGGCCTCACTCCGGAGCAGGGAGCTGCCACGGGACCCATCGGAGCACAGCTGGGACTGCCCTGAAGACCGAATGTCCACCGAACGTTGGGGGTGGGGCCGAGGGGGAGCAGGGAGAAACCCCTCGAGGGTCAGACAGCCCTCACCTGGCCAGGTTCTCCGTCACTCTCCGCAAGGCCTCCTGCTTCTTGGCCCGGTTCTTGGCAGCAGCCTCGTTGGCCATCTTCAGCCCCAGCCGCTCCCTGCGGCCCGGCTCCAGGATCTACAAAGTGGGTGTGTGGGTGCTCACTGAGCTGGACAGTCCCTCACGGCTGGAAGGGCTGACTCTGCCCATGGCCCCCACGATCTCAACAACCCAACACCACCTCTCCTAAGAGCCCCCGAAGGCCTCCAACCAGCCAGGCCGAGCTGCCCACCGGCCATCACGGTGCTCTCAAAGCCAGCACTGCTGGTTAGGAACCTCAGAATCTTTTAGAAAAGATATACTACCTCTCTGAACTATCATATGCTACTACCCTGGGGAGCCCACACTCTTGGGGAAGGGGGAAGTTACTGGTGTTCTCCTGTGGTTTCTTTGGAAGCTAAGTTCTCCTGGTTATTCTAAATTTCTGCCGCTACAGTGAGTGATATCAATTTTTTTTTTTATTGCACTTCAAACTGATCATTGCCAGTTTCAAACTGATCATAAGGGACTGGTTCAAGATGCCTGACCCAGCCTTTTGGTAGGCCTTCTGCATCAATCCCAGACTCCAAGCCCATCTCTTTGGGGTGTCAGAGCAGATGGGGTAATCCTGCCCTCTTTGTCTCTGTGACACCAACCTCTGTCCCCCTCCACCTCCCAACACCCCACAGCTCGTATAGGCAGCAGCCCAGCACCCAGACAGCAGAATTACACGCTTCCTCCTTTCACACACTGCCAGTCCCTCAGTTTCCCCACCAAACTGTGTGTAGACCAGAGAACTTCATCTTCCCAATACCTCTCTGGGACCCCACCTGCTTGCCCATTTGCCCACATCGTCCTGGGCCACCCCATCTCTGCAGGAGGCCTCTCTGTGGAAGTGCACAGCCCTTCTGAGGACATACGCCCCGCCCCACAAAAGGCTTGCAGCATCGCCTGAGCTCCGGGTCTGTCTCTGAGACCCCCAGGCGTCTCTGGGCAGCCCCATCCTCTGGGACCGTAGGCTCAGAGGAGCCACAGCCTTTCCCTGCCTCGATGCCTCGGCCCCACCCACCAGGTCCTCCTTGGCAAAAACCATCCGTCCACCCACACCTGTCTTCGCTGCCCCGGCACCATTTAGAAGGGCAGCGCCTGAGCAGGTGTGTGGCCTGGCATGTGGCTCGGCCCATGGTCAGTTCTGCTTTGACAGCGGCAGCCGGGCCATCCTCTGTGCAATGACCCATGGGTGCTCAGAAGAGCACACACCCACCTGGGGTCCCACCTGCGCTCCCCTCGCCACAGCTCACCTTGAAGGCTGGCCCTGGTGTCCTGTCCACGTAGGGGGTTTCTGATCCTTCAACTCTCACTGGTGTGTTCTCAACCTCTCCCCAGGTCATCAGCGGAGACTCGCTCACACCTGCAGGTGGAGGACCCACAGGCACTTCAGCCTACGGGGCCCAGGTGGGAGCACAGCCCAGGCCCTCCTCCCCCAATACAGTCCCCCCATCCACCCTCAGCGTACATTCCAGCGAACAAACACCAAGGCTGGCAGCTGACCCTCTATCCTTCCCCAGGATTCTGGAACCCTGGCCTCTCTGCCCTCTGAGGGACACAAGGCCACTGTGGGCCCAAGGCAGGCCCACGCCCCTACAGCCATGGGGCTTAGCTTGGAGGAGGGGCGCTCCCCAGGGAAGCTGGGCTGGGTCAGTGAGGTCCCCTTCCTAGCACAGGGCCACCCCAGCAGAAGAGACACTCAGGGGCTTCCAGAGGTGCCGTTTCTCCCAGGACCCTGGGCAAACCCCCACATGCCCGTGCCTACGTCATGGCCACCAGCTCCCCAGAGCACAGGGGCCCATGCGTGGGAGGGCAGAGGGACGGTGTGTGTACTGCGAGACCGTCCCCACGGCTCACACACCCTCTGTGTGAGGAGATGCAGGGCTGGGGCCCAGAGACCCCTCCTTACAGTGCTAACGTGGGACCCAGAAATGTTACCCCAGGACGGAGGGGACAGCCAGCCCCAGCCCAGGCCAGTGGCAGGAGGTAGGCGGCCTGAGAGAGGGACACAGGCTCCTGCAGCTCCCCAAGGCCTATCTTGCCCACCCCCACAGGCCAGGCACGGCCCCCTCAGGCCCCAGGTGTAACCAGCCTCCTGCAGACAATAACTTGCCTTCCATGCACATCTACATAGGAAGATGTCTGCCT